GAGGCCAGGCTGGGAGAGTTGGGGGTGTTCAGCCTGGAGAAGAGAAGGCTGCGGGCAGAGCTGAGTGCGGCCGGTCAGGGCTTCAAGGGGGCCCAGAGGAAAGGGGGGGACAAGCTTTTTAGCAGGGCCAGCTGTGACAGGACGAGGGGTGATGGTTTTAAACTAAAGGAGGGTAGGTTTAGACTGGATCTAAGGAAGAAATTCTTTACACTGAGGGTGGTGAAACCCTGGCAGGGGTTGCCCAGAGAGGGGGTGGAGGCCCCATCCCTGGGAACATTCCAGACCAGGTTGGACAGGGCTGTGAGCAACCTGCTGTGGTTCAAGGTGTCTCTGCTCCTGCAGGGGGGTTGGGCTGGGTGACCTCTAGGGGTCCCTTCCAACGCAAAATATTCTATGATTAAAAAAAATAATCAAACTTGGAAAACCAGTGAAGTGGATGGGTGGGTCTGGGTAGGATTTCAGACTGTTCCCCTTGGGCACAGCTGAGTAAATTTCCGTCATTTTTGTGAAGCAAGTTTTGTGTGTTAAATTCTAAAAATCACAAAACTGCAGCTTGAGTCAAAATGACATCGTGACCTCTTAAAGGTCCCACTGTGGTCACGCACTGCGCTCTGCCACTATGCTGTTCCGACGGGCAAATTGAATTAATAATGCTACGGGAGGAGAAAATGGGAGAGTGGTGTTGAGCGGAGAAGTGTCGGCTGCAGCAGAAATACTTAAAGAAGTCGGGTCCGCAGGCTGAAAAGAGTTTATGGCTGCAGCCTGGGGAAACTGCGCGCAGAGAGAGGCACCTCCTGGTTTTTAGCTGGCATTAAGCTGCTATAAAGCATTAAGACACCCCAAGTTGGGGAGGGCTGAACTTACTTGAAATAGTAGTTTTCCCAAAATGGGCCTGGAGATCAATATTTAATTTATAATACAAGTTATTGTTATAAGACTTCAGAATTTCCATTCTGAAAACTTGCATTCTCTTTGCATCTGCCGTACAACAGAGACACTGTGGCTCTTCTGAGGTGCCAGGAGCAGGCGGGAAATGACCCTGCATTGTTCTCTAGGAGGAAATATGTTAAAAAAGTGAAAAATATGAAAGGTCCCTGAGCCAATCTGGCTTTATTAGGGTGGAAGTTCCATTATAATCACTGGTTGATAAGCTTTCTGTCATTAAATGTGAATCAGTGAGATTACATATAAAACGTGTGCTGTGTGTGTCACCTGGCAGGGTGAGAGTTTTTCTCAGCATCGATTTTAACCAGCATTTGGTTCTTTGTGGGTTTGTGTGATGGGTTGACCTTGGCTGGGCACCAGGGGCCACCCAAAGTTGCGCTATCGCTCCCAGCAGGACGGGCAGGGAGGGAATGAGATGGAAAAGAAAAAAAACTCGTGGGTCAAGAGTTTTGGCAGTTTAATAAAAAAGCAAAAGTAAAGGCCGCGTGCGGTAGCAAAAGGAAAACAAGATTTTATTCTCTGCTTCCCATTAGCAGGCGATGTCCAGCTGCTTCCTGGGAAGCCAGGCTTCAGTACGCATAGCGGTTGCCCCAGAAGACAAAACGTCATAAAAGACAAATGCCCCCCCTGCCTTCCTTTCCCCTTAGTTTTTATATCTGAGCTGACGTTATATGGTATGGAATATCCCTTTGGTTGGTTTGGGTCAGGGGTCTTGGCTACATCCCCTCCCAAGATCTTGCCCCCTTCCAACCCACTTGGGGGAAGGGGGGAATGTTGGAGACACAGCCTTGACGCTGTTCGAGCCCTGCTCAGCAGTAGCCAAACACTGATGCGTTATCAACCCCTCCCTACGTACCAATAGCCCAGCGCCATGTAGCTTGACCCAACACAGCTCGAATGTACTTCCATGTCCGAGAGCAAGCACACAAATCCCGCACTCTTTCTCGATGATATGGCTGCAGCACGGCTGGTTTGTCTGCTTTCTCTAAACTGGTTTTTGTTTCATTTTGACAGGTAGCTTTGCTGTCTGGGGAGGTCTCTTCTCCATGATTGACTGCAGTATGGTCAGAATGAGAGGGAAAGAAGATCCGTGGAATTCAATCACAAGCGGGGCCCTGACTGGAGCCATATTGGCTGCAAGAAGTAAGAAACTGAGGAAACTGGAAAACTTCTGTACTGGGAATGTACAGTTCTCATTGTTAGAGTGAAGCAACGGTCTACAATACCTACACGGGAATTTACTTTTTCAGAGAAATTGAAAGATAATCTGAAACTTTTGTCCTGTGCTTATGGAAGTAATAATTATGTTCTCACACGTTACCGGTGTCCCTTTGTTTGCTTGAGGAAGAGGGGGGCAGTCGCCCAGTAATTATCCTTTTATAGGGGATGTTAATGAGGCTTAATGGCTGCAAAATTACTGCTTCTGAGTCTGCATGTAGGAGGGATTATAACTGAAGGAAGAGAGCTATAGTATGCAACGTAACGCACCAAAGAAGTAAAAAGTGTTGTTTTGTGCTTTTTTATTTTTAGATGGGCCCGTTGCCATGGTCGGATCTGCTGCCATGGGAGGAATTCTTCTGGCTTTAATTGAAGGAGCTGGTATTCTGTTAACAAGATTTGCCTCCACACAGTTTCCAAACGGTAAGGAGCCATCGGACTATGGTATCGCAAGGCTCTTACGGTGCAGTCTTTGATAACGTCCCTCTTCCAGTCATCAGTCTGACCACAGAGTGAATCTACTCTGCCGGTTGCCAGCTTCTAAGGCTGTGGAAGGTCAAGGAGGAGCCGCATGTTGTGGCATTGAGATGAGAGCATCATCAGCTCCTTCTCGCTGGGCGACTGGAGGGTGCATGGCTGAAAGCAGGGACATCCCTGCTGTCCATGTCTTCTGTCCTGTCCCCTGATGCAGCCACACAACCTGTCAGAGGGTGGCAGCAGTATTTTGTAGTCAGTGGTGGGTGACACAACGGGTTTGAGGGAACAGCAAGCAGCAAGTTCCCGGCAAGAGGGATGGTGCCAGCAGGCTTAGCTGTGGTCTGTGTGCGAATGTGCGGGCAACCCTGGTTTAAATGAGGTGATAAAGATCAGCAGGCAGATGATAGAATCACTAAGGTTGGAAAAGACCTCCAAGATCATCAAGTCCAACCATCAAACCAACACCGCCATGCCTACTAAAGCCTGTCCTAAGCACCTTGTCTGCCCGGCTTTTAAATCCCCCCAGGACTCGACCCCTTCCCTGGGCAGCCCCTTCCAGCCCCTGACAGCCACAAGGGGAAGGAATTGTTCCCCATGCCCAACCTCACCCTGCCCTGGCACACCTTGAGGCCGGTGTCTCTCGGCCCATCG